GTGTCAAATCTTGTTTGTTGAAAGTAAAACAACTGTATGCAGGGTTCCAGAATCGGACCAAAGCCTTGAGCAACGGTTCATCTATTTTTACATAAAGGAGCTGAGCTATGTAATCATATTTCTTGTAAAACCTCTCTTTGGTAAGTACTCTCCAACTTTCCCAAATCTATATCAGCTCTTGTAGACCATTCTTGCTTGAGATTGACATTTGTGATCATTTGTGATATGAAATCCCCAGAAAAACTACATCTTTTTTTGCCCTTTGTGCTTCTTTAAGTCAATCTAGAACTGCTGGATTGGGTTCTTCCTTGTTATGAAAACTCTTTTCCATTTCAATGATCGCTCTTCTAATCTGATGATTACTTGGTTTAGTCAACACCTTTTTTTATTCATGATGATTATGCAAATGCGGAGATGCAAATGTAGATGCCTAAGTGATGCAATGCAAAGAAGAACGAAAAAATGACATACACAAAAGAAAAAAATTAGTATAGGCGAAATACTCAATAAAATTAAAAGATTCTATTTAAAGATAAATATAACACCTACACAATCATGATATCTACCCGGTCATGCTTTTATTAGATAGCGATCCTACCCAATCATGCTTTCTACCCAAAATAATTATTTTCAATGAAATGATCCTAACTGCATGGTATCTAGTTCACATATTGTTATTCAACAGAAAACAAAAAGGTTCGGAAACACTCCCTCTTTGTGTACACTTAATTCGGGTACCTACTGACGGTCAAAGGTTCAGTATGTCTATACCTAGGGTGACCGTTCTACGGTTCACTATATGCATGGTTTTGGCTCTAATGGGAAAAAGGTACTCGAATTGTCCTTAATGTTAGTTCCCCCTTGGGTTACCAAACCCTCAATCCTGGCCCATTACAGGCTCGTGTGGATCGAGTTCAATTCGAGAGGATACATTCTGTTATGTCCATACGGAGAAACAATTTATCTCACGTAGACATAAGGTATATGAACCCCAAAAATTACTTGCTAAAACCCATGCGGAGAAACAAATTATCTCACGTAGGTTAAGCTTTCATCTCAACTTAAAAGGGACAAAGCTCATAAGTGAGCTTATGGTATGCAAATGCCCATGATGTGTGTGAGGAGGAACATTCATCCCTTTGACTCAAAAGGAAAACGAAACCATTCGACAAAAGTTTGGACAAATCTGAAAACAAAGATAAAAATGTTAGTAAGACAAGAATAAAATGAAGCAATAAAAGGATCATAAATTAACTAAAGACTTGAACTCGAAATTTTCACCATACAACAATGAGTAAGCGACTTACAGCCTGACTCTCTAAAAAAATGTTCCCAGCAGAGTCGCCAAGCTGTCGTAACCGTTTTTTCAGTTGAAACGATCGTTTAATTGTTTTAAAAAATAGTTAGGATTTAAATTTTGGAAAATGGGCAATTTTGGATTAATTTGGAATAATTTGGATAGAGTCGCCATCAACCTTTGGACTAGGTAGGTTGAATACCTAAAAATGTCTTTTAAAAACAATTTTATGAAAAATCATTTTTTAAGGCAAAAATTGGTCTTCGTTTTCCAAAGATTCGATTAAAACGGGTTCGGGAGTCGGTTATGCGTGGAACCAAAATAAAAAATTACAAATTAAATAACACATGTACTAATGAAAATAATCCAAAAATGAAATTAGAACTAAAGTGCAACAAATCAAAACTTGAAGGCTAAATCACATTAAACTAAAATGAAAATAATCCAAAATGAAATTTAGAACTAAAGTGCAACAAATCAAAAACTTGAAGGCTAAATCACAATTAAACCAAATTAAAACAAGGACTAAAACGATATATTTACAAACATCATAGCCAAATTCGAATAATATAAAAAATACACAAATAAATTAAATCAATGACTAATATGTAATATTTATAAATATTATGCACAAAATCAAATATTAACATAACATGTAATAATGTCGAGTTATGCACATGAAGATAACATACAATATTAATTAAAAGATGCCTTGTACCTAATTTATAAATCAAATGAATAAAACTATATGTAATTTTAAACAATCAAAAACTAAATAATAACTAAATATTGTTAAGAAAATATACATACACATTCTAATAATAACATACAAAAGAAATAAACATTAAATATATACATACGATTTAATTTAAACATATTATTATTATTATTATATCATTCAATAACACATAAATTTGACTAGGTTTAATGCAATATTTTATATTTTAAACGTGTACAAACAATAGTAATTAACTTTGGGCACTAACTAACAAAGATAAATGAATTTGGAGCCATCCACGTGGTAAGCAAATAAATCTAAGGTTAAAACCATAAATTAAAAAAAACAAAAGTTATAAAACACTAAATGGAGTGGCCACCCACGTTGGTTTGATTAACCCCCAATTTTAGCCTTCGAATATTAAACAATTATTGTCATATTACTAACCCAATTTTAACCCATTTTTTTTTCTTGCGCATGGTTCCTTCTCTTTTGCTCTCAACCCCTTCCTTTTCCTTATACTCTTTCTTTCACTCTTTCTTTCTCCAAACCGATTACCATGCACTAGTAAGGTAAGCTAAACCAAAATTAATACTTAGTAAATTGTTCTCTTTATTTTCTTTTCAAACTGGAAGCTCCAAGATCCTTCACACCTTGTACTTACCAACATTATTCTCTCTTCACAGTCACCAAAACGACCGAGTAAGCCTAGACCTAACCAAGAGACCTCTTCTATTCTAATGGTCTTGATTCCAACGAGGACACCCATAACATAGTAACCCCGAAACCCTCTCAATCGACCTCTAAATGACCAAAACCAGTCCCTAAACCTCTCAAAGCCAAACGACAACTGCTCGTCTCACGGTCAAGGTAAGTTCTCTCTATCTCGCTCTTTTCCGTTTCGAAAAAAAAATTATTTACCAAGACTAACACCAATTCTTCTTCTCAGAACCCGAACAGCGATGGAGTTAATGAGATTTCACTGGAACTCGCACAATTCAGGTAAATTAACCCAAATCCCTCTTTTTTATTATTATCTTATATCGACCTACTTATTTTGCTTATGATCAAACATGCGTTGATTTCTTTGGATTAATTACTGTAATAAATAAAAGATTGTTCTACTGCTAATTTGGGTTTGAAAATAAAAAAACAAATAAAGCAACATATACTGGAAATTGAAAACAAAACTAAGAATACCTCAAAATGCTTTTATTGCTTTCGAATGGAGGGATGGAATATTTCCCCTATTTACAATTGTTTTCTTTTCGAAGAAAAATAAAACCCCATCTCTATTACCAGTATTTTGAATATGATCAGGATTTTTCCTCCAATCTGAGATTTTTTTTTCTCTGTTTGTATTTGTGATATTTTATGGCCTCTCTCTTTCTCCTCTGATCTCCCATTCTATTGCTCGTTGTTCTCTGTCCTTTTATGGTTGCAAGTCAATAATTTGGTGATGACTTTGATCGATGAAATCTGGTTGTAGCAGGTTGAATCCCGGATTATCCAAGATTTATTTTGTTTTTCTAAACGCTTTTTCAATGTAGTGGTTGGCTCATTATTAATGATATTTTGTCCCCTCCCCTTTGCTATTGTGACTTGCATGTTCTTGTCTTGAATGTAGGAATCAATGTGCCCCATGAGCATGACTTTATCATGGTGAGTCATATAGTTGTTTGATATGGTGATTGCGGTGGACCCATGAATGGGATCAACCAGACCATCATTAAATTTTGACAAGGAGTTATGATCCACCCAAACATGACTACCGCCAAATATGGATACATCGTCGCCATCCGATATGGTTCACCAAGCATAATGCTTCGGGAAGTCCCTCACTATAGCATTTTCTCCTTGCTTGCAATCATGGATGTTTAGGCTCAGGTTATATTGGGACTGCAACAAAAATGTAATAATAATATATGATATACTAATAATAATATATAATTAATATTTATAATATTTTTTTAATCCCGGTCAAAAACGGGTGTCTACAGGTATGATATAGTTACAAAGTGTAAAACTCAAAAGTTTTACACCGATTGAGGATCCTTGGATCAGGGAAAATAGACAATTGAGATTAATAGTAGAAAACGAGAAGATAATCACTAGAAAAAACAAGGAGATATTATCAGTTGTCCATTTCCATTCATCCAATGATCTGAAATCGATGTAAAACTAAAAGTTTTTTACATTGTGTAAGTGAATCCTAACTCATAATCCAATTATATAGTGTAAAACTAGAAATTTTTACACTTATGTGCTGTCAAATTTGATCTTGGTAATACGGTTCGTGAGCGATCTCGTGATCGACGCGTAACTACTACACCTATTATTCCCACATTCGATGATATAGAACTATTCTGATTTGAGGGGGTTAATTATGACGAAAAAACGGCAAGAGTAGGATAGTTAAATGAGTGAAAAAAATTTGACTAAGATTAACAATGTGAATTAAAAGATATTCACTGAAAAATAAGGAGATAAACTCAGCCGTTCATTTTCACTCATCTAATGATCCTAAATTAATGTAAAACTAAAAGTTTTTTTTACATTGTGTAGGTATATCCTACCCCATATAGAGGTATGATCCATTTACATAGTGTAAACTACAAAATCGAGGGATTTGACTTAAACTTAAAAATTAATCTACTAATTACTAAATATTTTGAGTTACTCAAGTTATTATTGAAGTTCTATATTATAACTCGACTCGAATTTAATTTTTTTTATTTTAGTCGAATTATTATTGGAGTTATATTTTATAACTCGACTCGAATTAAAAAAAATTTTGAGTTCTATTTTTTTTGAAGTTAAGTTTTGTGGCCTAAAATGTAAAGTACCCAAACAGAAACAAAAGAAGACAGGGATTCCATCAAATTACAAAACTAAAGGCGCCAAGTTATGTCCCGGGAAATTTGAAAATCGCAAAATGAAAAAGAAATAAATAAAAACTTCACTTCTTCTCGAAAACGGAGAATAGGAGAGAGCTTTAATGGAGGATTTCAATTCTGAGGTATGGATGATTGCTTTATTCAACAATTTCGAGTTCGTAGAAAATATCAATTTTCTGTTTGGTTCATAAGAAAATGTTGCGCAACTAATTTTCTCTTGGTGTGAAAATATTTTTTCTAATCCATTATTTATTTATTTTTATATTAGATTCCAGGTTCTTCATGCTCCATTCCTTCTGGTTAGTATTTCTTATCTCGAAAGAAAATTTTGAGCTTCAATTTTATTCAAGAACGATTTTAACTACCTTCCCCCTTTTCTTAAACCAGAACCTCCTGATATAAGGAACTGGTTTTCATCTTACAAGTATAATTCTTTTGTCTTGGATACATGCTAGAATTTCGGAGGAATGTCTTCAGAGGAAAGGGAAAGCGAAAAATATGATTTGGCAATTGGAGAAGTTAACAGAGAAAAAGAAGAAAAAGTTAATGGGTTTGGAGAAATTGGAAATGCTGATGAACGTGACAACTCTAACACTAAGGGGGTAAAACTTTCATTTAATTTTTCATCTGCTTCTGGGAAATCTGGGTTTTCTTGAATATCATGTTTATTTAGCCAAAATTAAGAGAATTTTAGTGAATAGCTCATAGTTCTTCAAATCTTAGAGTAATTCCTTTTTGTTGTGGGTTCAGGCTTCATTGCAGTCCCTTTCATTCCTTTCTGGTATGTTTCAATGCTATTTTTCTCTGATTTTTTTTTTGTTGAGCTTTTAAAGTGTGTAAATAGCGTTTTGCTTATGAAAAGAATTTAGGGAAGGAAATTAAGACTAGAAGTTGGATTCAGTGCTTAATTTAATCATGTAAAGAAAGTGAATTTTGTCTATGTTTTCATGTTCCCTCAGAGCCTTCAGATATCAGAAAATGGTTCTCAAGCTATGTATACGAAATTCCTTTGTTGGATACCAAAGACTGTTTCAAAAGTCATGTCTCTAGAGAAAGTGAAGGCAATAAACATGAACTTGTCAATGGAGAAAGCATCAACGATGAATTTGAGAATTCAGATCAATTTCAAGAGGACACCTCTCACAAGATTTTTCTCAGCTAAATTGGTGAGATGCAATAGTTCTTTAGTAGAAGTGATGAGTGATTCAGACCCTCTCTTCTCTGGTTTGTATAAACTTCTAGTACTCTTCATTTTCCAGGAAGAAAGCTATGTGATTATGCCAAATGTTGTAATGTTTGTTTGTGTTTCTTCTTTCAGAGCCTCTAGATATTGGAAATTGGTTCCCAGACTATGTGTATGAGTCACCTGTTTTGGATACCAATGATGAACTTCGATATAGTCTCTCTAAAGAAACTATATGTAGAGATGAAGTGGTTATTGATAAGAAGATATGCTCAAATGGGTTGGGGAAATGTAAAAGCTACAGTTCCTTTGGACATGATGAGCAAGAAAATAAGTCTGCTAGTAAGGTAATTTTGGGGTCTCCATTTGTGTTTCTTTCACTTTTGTTCTCGCTCCTTTACAAAGTTTGTTCACTTGAGTTTTGTTAAATAAACATATAAAAGGACTCCATATATCTTTTCATGCTGGTATTACAGGATTCACATTGGTCTATAATTAAGGAAAACATGCAATTCAGTCAGGAGCCAAATAGCAGCATCTATGGTGTAGATTCCCTATTTGAACTTAATAGAGCTGACTATCAATCACTGGATTCTTCAAAGAAGTTGATAGATAGGAAGAGTAGCTTCAGAAAGAGCTCGGCAGCTGACAAAATCGATGGAAAAATGACAAAGAAAAGCCTGCTGGAAAAGAAAATGCAGAAAATGGTTTATCACAACAAGGAAGAATAAGTTTGAAAGAAGAAATGATGAAAATTCTCAGAGAGGACCAGGTGAGATTTTGTCACGCTGTTCAAGAAAAACAGGAGATCGCGAAAAGGGTAATGGCGTTATGAAAAGGAAGGTGTTGGGAGAAACAACCAATGAGCGGCAGTGTGTGGCAAAAGGCAATGGAGATCACCGGAAAATGGCTTTGTCCACAGAAAAGCAAGACTTTGCGCGGCCCTCCATTAAAACAGCTTCGACTTGAACGATGGCACAGGATGCGACTCTTTTGGAAATTCCACATTACCGGAAATATTCTTCTAACTAACGGTGGAAACTATTTCCCTTTTTATTTATTATGCTTTATTTCCTTCTATTGAATAGAGTGAAGAGAATGTATAACGAAAGGCTTGGATTTGATTTTTTTAATTATTTGCTCTAGATTAACTAGAACATGATGAGATTAGAAATGCTAAACTTGAGTTAAATAAAAAAAGTTTGAGTTATTCGAGTTGATTTTTATTTTACAACTTGAAGTTGATTTGAAATTTTTTCGAGTTGAGTCGAGTTTTTGAGTTTCTATTTAAATTTAATTGTAAATATTATGATATTATTTGATCTAATTTGAATGATTTTTCATAATCATATATGATAAATATGTATTTTTTAATATATTTTTTTATATATGATATACATATATTGTATAGAGTCAAAGGATTTGACTCAAACTTGAAAATCAATTTATTAGTTACTAAAAATTTTGAGTTATTTGAGTTGTATTTTACAATTTAGTTTAACTTGAAAACTTTTTGAGTTGAGTTGAGTTTATGAAATTATAATTCGAAATTAATTCGAGTCGAATTTTCTCGAATCAAATCGAATTGAAAAAAATCAATTTTTAGAGTTAAGTCGAATTTTGCTCACCCCTAATTGACAATCATTTCAAGTACATGATTAATGTTTATTAGAAGTTCTTGTATATATATATAAAAGGTTATTTTATTAATTGTTGACACTTAATAATGATTTTTCATTTGGAGAGATTATTAAGTGAACCTTTTTCATTACAACAGTCATAGTCCCTGATTAATAATGTTATGCGAAATAAATATTAATTTACAGTGATTAAATATTTTTGTCAACATATCATTCTAACTCATAATTCTACCTCCTAAATTGTTATTCTTACTTGCATTTCTTTTTCTTTCATAATAAATTATTTGTTCTTTCATTTTTTAATCACAAAACGAAATTATTCCATGAGAATCTTGTTATAATATCAGAACGATTATCGGTAAACAAATAAACACGATCGAAAAAGAAAAACAAAGAACACCAATATTTATGTAGAAAACCAAAAGAGAAAAACCATAGGTAGAGGAGAAGAATTTCACTAATATGAAGAAAGAAAATACAAAAAGATTTTGGTAAAAGAAAAACTTGATACCTAACCCTTTACTCTTAGTAGCTATCTATTTATGGGGATAAATATTTGATTACAAGGGAAAAAATTAAATGAAGTAGAAATTTACTTTAATAAAGTTATCTACTTTTAATCAAACTATGATTTTTACTTTCCCAAATTTAAATATTAATTTGTGTCACTTTGAATTCGAGTCAAACTTTAACAAATCTCTACCTTGACTTGATTTCTGAAAGTGCGAAGGTTTTGAGATAAAACACCCAAATTCAACAAAAATACAATTCTTCGCTTCAACGAAAAAGTTCTCCATCTCTTCCACAACACCCCTCAAATCTTCAATCATGAATACACATCGAATCCAAGATTTTTCTAAGCTTGGATTTAACCTTCACGTCGACATGGTTATCATAAGTGCCAATTTTGTTCACAAATGTATCACCTCGAGCAATATCATGCATAACACGATCCCGATCATCAACTAGCACAAGCAATGAGTCGCATGTAATAACAAGGTAATCTTCCCTCTTAAACTGAGACGAATCTACGGGAAAAGGTAAGCGCTATCACCCTTCGAAGTGGAACAATTGTCGAACAACCAATCCGAGAGGAGTTAGGTGCATAATCCCATGAAGAACTGAAATCCTAGGAGGAAGAAACAACAGTAGGTGCAATTTCCTACATGATAAGTGAAGATGGCGCATGATCCTAGAGAAAAAAGGAAAAATATTTACAATCTGATCCGATATCATCTCCCTGCGTAGTTATACCACCATTCCCTTCTAGATTAGTGAAAAGAGACAAAAAAGCTAAAGAAAGGGAAATTTTGAAAGTTCTTCGAAAAGTAGAAATCATCGTTCCTCTTCTTGAATTTATTCGAAAGGTGTCGAGGTATGCCCTATCTCTTAAACAATTATACACTACAAAAATAAGGCTTACCGGGCATGAGATGGTAGATATAGGAGAACATGTTTCTGTAGTCTTGACACAAAAACTTCCACCAAAGCTGAAGGACCAAGGTATGTTTGCTAGCCCATGTAAAATTGGTAAATTTAGAGTTAATCATGCAATGTGTGATTTGTAAGCGTCAATAAATTTGATGCATTTGTCCGTATATAACTTACTTTCTACTGAGCCCTTAAGGATACACAAGTAACAATACAACTCATCTTTCCAGCGGTCTTCTATGTCATTGACATGGAAAATGATTAGACAAATTCTTGTTCTGAAATTATCCTTGGGAGCCCCTTCCTTAGTACAATAAATACAAAGATCGACGTAAGAAGCATAATTCTTACGATGGAGTTCGACGGTCAGGTCATTAAATTTGATGTATATAAAGTGATGTGATATCCCAAAAGAGTTGAATGTTTAAATTTTGTAGATGTTATTGAGCCTCCGATTAATGAATTTATGGAATCTAACTTTGTTGATGACTTATGCAAGGAGTTGAAGGATTTCAATGAGGAAATCAGAGAGTTTGAAATAATCTTTTCAATTCATTCTAATCCTCGCTTAATTCCTTAAGAATCTAAACCATTACTTCTATTTTGCAGTCTCCTCAAATCGACTTGAAAGAATTTTTGGATCATTTGAAGTATGCATTTTTGGGAAAAATGTGACTTTGCTAGTGATCATCTCTAATACGTTATCAAAAGAAGAGAAGAATCTTGTTGCAGTGTTACACGCACATAAGGAGGCCATAGGATGGACGATTATCGATACTAAAGGCCTTAGTCCCACAACTTGTATGGACAAGATCAAACGAAGAATGATCAAAATCGTCACGAAAGATAACGTCGTTAAATCCATCGATGATGGAAGTGGTAAAAAAAATCTAGAAGCTTCTTGATGCATATATGATTTACCCAATTTTAGACAGTAATTGGGCAAGTCCGATCTATGTAGTTCCAAATAGAACCAGAGTTACGGTTATTACAAACTCGAAAGTTGAGTTAGTTCCAACAAGAGTACAAAATGGATGGTGAGTTTGCATTGATTACAGAAGTTGAACTCCCTAACTCGAAAAGATCATTTTCCCCTTTCATTTATAGATTAAATGATAGAAAAGTTAGCTGGTAAAATCACTATTATTGTCTTGATGGATTTTTAGGTTTCTTGCAGATCCCAACAACACTAGAAGATTAGGAAAGACTACTTTTACTTGTCCCTTCAAAACATTTGCCTACTGAAGAATCTTTTCGGACTTTGCAATACACCCACCATATTCCATAGATGTAAGTTGAACATCTTTTCAGACTATGTTGAGAAATGTATCGATGTCTT